CCCATCAGTCTCTGCACTAATCCCATGGTGAGGAGTCTTTGTATATATATCTATCCCGTTAGCCAGTTCTCAATGATTGGCTCTCAATACCACTAACAGTCTTACCGGACGGGCTATCGTATTTTCCATTTCGAGTTCTAAAAGCTTCTCAACTCCAGATCTCCTCCCGCAAGTTGCAACGACACTGGACAGCCCTACGGGTGGTCAGACGGATGCGCGGAGAATGGAGGGAATAACACTGACTTTGGTGTTTCCTCGGTAAAAACCTATTCTGTGGCACGGTGTGGGGTCAGGTTAATGCTTTCTCGATCCTGTGGGTCCAAAAATCTGACCTTCATGGTGATAACTGACTGTGCCGTCGATGAGGGGCATCATGATCATTGTACAGCGCCTCCTTATCTTCCTCCCTCCCCACCTACTTTACGGACCACCACCAATAGATACCTCACACACCCGCGCCTACGTACACATTGGCATAAAATGGGATGGGCCCTTACATAACACTAGCATCGCACCACCATCACCAGGGCATATCGGAGATATTATAGGGTGCCGGTACCGAGTTCGAACATTCCCTGCATATGCAAGGCAAGAATCTGTCATCAGAAAGAAGTTGACGGCGGCTGCTCGGTATGCCTTCTGGGGGGGGGAATGTGGATTACGGGACGTGAGTTTAGTGGAATATGTACTCTTCAGTCATTGCCACCTCCCATTACTCCTGCTAAGCATCAAGGTTCGCTATCACAACCCAGCGTACATATCATACAACATCGCTCAACCCCCCCCCCCCGACTTTACCTAACTGAGCTGCATCGTCGTCGTGGTGAGACATCATATATTCCCGCAAACGCCCCCGGCGGGCGGTGAGTTTTTTCCGCATCCCCAACGACGAAGTATTTTGTTTAGTTATTCCAACAGCTGTGTTAATGTCCCGTTTGTTCAGTTCGGCACACTGCCAAGATAACACTTCAAATCCTACATACAACCCGTTATACGTCCATCGGGCGAGGCGTCCAGCGTTGCATAATTGACTTACCCGAGCACTTTCATAATCCAGCTTACACGCGTTCGATCATAGCATTGTCAATATGTCTTACCACACACACAATAAAAAGACAATACCTTACCTACTTAAGTTGTGGGCACAGCTCCGTGCATGCATGCATAGCTTTTTCCAGGAAGTCACTCGTTGATCTGGAACTGGGATTGATGACACAGCGACCATTGAAGGGATAACTTTTTCGCGACGGACCAATCGATTGGACACGCGTTCATGTGACTGAGGGAGGGGGGGGAAATCTGATGGTAGCGAGCGAAAGGGGATCCCGATACCTGGAGACGAGAATGGGAGGAGCCCTCCACTCACAAAATCGGATGTGGAGATGAGGTTGTTGGAGTTCCGTGTTTGAGCCCTCTATACATATACCGCAAAGCAAAAGAACTGCAATTTACTTCACTGCAGCCCCGTATGCTATGAACCGCAACACCACAGTCGCGGGCCGTGGCAGAGAGTCCGTGTCTGATCAAACCAACCTCACGATACGACCAGCCATGGATTTTATCCAGAGCTGTCGTTGCCCGCCTCTTATTAACTAGTAAACTGAACCAACAACGACCGTGCACCACCCGGACAAGGCTTTCTATTCTGAGCCTATTAGCGAGCCCCGCTTGTTTTGCGCTAGACTAGGCTTGCCTATTTTTACTCCCGGGTTCAACCTTGCATGGAAAAAGCTTGGGTCAGATCCAACCGCCCATGGACGGAGAAGGAGGAGGAAGAGGAGCGCAGTCAGTCGTGAAGACTTTTGCGATGGCGGCGGCGGCTCTATGCGATCGTCGCGATTGCAAAAAAAGCTTTCGTGATTGCAATGCAATGGCTGGGGGATGCGGGGAAAAATGACAATGCTATACTCAGGAGAGGAAGCTGGTCTCCCGGTGCAGAGTCCAAAAAGCAATGATCCTGAGCCTTGGAACCTTTTACTCACTAATCAATGGGAGCGAAGAAAGATATCTCGCGATCGAGTTCTGTTGAAGAATTATGGAGGACGTGACTTCATAGCAGGCAAGAGATGATGTTGTTATGGTGATCAACAAGCCGGATGTTGCCGTTGGCGTCTAAATGTTCAATCGGACGAGAGATTCGAAAGTACGTACCATAGAAGAAAGTTATGTAGTGCATTGCAGGCAGCTGTTGCTTTTTTTTTCCGGGATTGAGAGAAGTGCACCTGGAAAATTGCACTTGGGACTTGGAGCAATTGATGTGGTCATGATGGGCGTGATGTTCACAAGGAGAAGACGAGGGATTCCCCATGCAGGTTATGTCAAAGGCAGATGCAACACCGGCGCATGCATCTGCGGATTTTCCAAAAACACCACGAATATTCTTAAGAACCATAAACTATGGCAAACCGTCGGTACCACTCCAGCCAACCAAACGGCTTCCAACAAATCCGCCTCTTTCTCCTCCGGCCAACATCTCATCTCCCTTGTTTTCCTTTTTCTTTTTGTTTTTCTACTACCATTCCTTTGCACTTCTTAACCTCCTCCTTCTCCTCCTTCTTCTCGTCCTCCTTCCCACGCCATTTCAATTCATCAATCCCCCCCCCCCCCCCCCCCCCCCCCCCCCCCCCCCCCCCCCCCCCCCCCCCCGCCCTCACCGGCTTCTCCGCCCTCACCAATGCCGCCCCCTGGAACCCGCGAATAAAATTCGCCCGCGAGCTCGCGGGTAAGGTCTGTGGCTGCAACCTCGACAAGGCCGCTCTCCCCATGATCGAGGATCAAACCTGTACGTTTCTCCTCTTTTCACCTTCTCTCTCCTACTAACCCTAACAGACACACAACTCACCCAACCCTCCACCCCCCATCCCGTCCGTGTCGTCCTCGGTCGCGGAACCCAAAACTACACCTGCGCGACAACAACCTCCTCCTCCGTCCCCGTCGCAAACGGCGCAAAAGCCGACCTCTACGATGCCTCCTGCCTCGCACAGAACCATCCCGACCTCCTACACACCCTCCCCGCCAAATTGCTGGACATGAACGGCGGCTACGGAGAATTCATCACCAAACAGATGTCCCCGTACGATCGTAGCAATATTTACGTCGGATACCATATCTTCCCCGATCAAAAGACTCCCGTGTTTCATTTCAAGAAACCGAAGGATGATATGTTTGTTGGCAAGAAATTGGAGGGTGTGCCAGCGCCGATGAATGCGAAGCCTGGGAAGTGGGGTGCGGTGGATTGGTTACTCCTTGGGGCGACGAGTTATGGTGAGGAGGGGTACAAGTATAAGAGTGCGTATAGGGTTGTCACTGCTGGGGGGAAACCACCGAAGACATGTGAGGGTATGGAAGACGAGTTTGAAGTGCCATATGCGTCTGAGTACTGTGAGTTTTTCTCCCATGATTGTTCCTGAGGGGAGGGCTAACCAGGGTGATAGGGTTCTATGAGTAAATTGTACCAGCTAGAGGAGATGTATATATTCCCATCTGTGGGGGGGTGGGATGTACTTGTGGCGGATTGTGTGGTTCTTCTTTTCTCAACATTGTCTTATCACACCTCTTTTCCTAGAGATTTTTTTTTGTTTTCTTTGTCGTAATTTTGTCTACCCGCTGTTGTGTTTTTCCTTCGTTGCATACAAAGCTGGTTCTAGATATCGAGCTCCGGAGTTTTTTTTTTTTTTAGTGTTTAGTGTTTGGTGAGTAGGCTAGCTTTTTTTGGGAGTTGCTCAGGGATGCAAATAAACTATTTTTTGGCCTGGCTGGCTGCTAGGTATTGCAATTGCTATTTGTCTCGCTGTTCATGAGATGATGGATGATTCAATTCTACCCAGATACTTGTGGCGTTCGTCAGGGCTATCACATGTATCCGTCGCGTATCAAAACTTCTCAATCCGTTCGTCTACGCGCCGTCACCTCAAATTGTTTTTCCCCTTCTCAGTCAGTGCCAGACAGACGCATCGGATGTGGCTTGCATGGCGGTTACCGGTATCATTGTTTATGCAGCACATGCGCACGTAGAGATTGCCGAGAGAAACTGGAGAGGGTTCTTTTCTATTTTTGGTCGGTTTGGCTGCGGAAGGGTGGCCGGTGGGATAGGTGAATGAGATGTGGTGATACCAGAAGGGGTACAAGGGTATATGAGGCACGGTAACACAGGGCAAAGACCGCCTAACTTTTTTCCCCCCCCATACAACGAGAAATGCCATGGGCCATGGCGGGCGCAGTTTGGAGGAGTAATACTTATCTAGGACTTA